TTAAAAAATAATTTTTTTACCCCTATTAACAGGGTGGGGTGACCAAATATGCCCCTCCCTTCCGAAAATCAAACTGCAAGAGAGACAAAAAGTTGGGGCCACCCAGTACCGCAACATTGTGAGCACATGTGCGTGGATGTGGGTGCATGTCCTTTTTTTCTTTTTTTTTATACAAATGCTCAAATTTGTTCGTCCAATCTCATTTTCGAAGGTCCGTTACACGTTAGCAAGGACCCCTCATGGAGTAGAGATGGACATTAGACTTGTACTTTGTCGGTGTGGGTCGATAATATATAGTCTAGATTCGAATTCAGGTTTGTGCATCACAGTAATCACAGTTATTGGTCACTAATTCTCTGTTTTCTCGTTTTTCTTTTGTTTTCTCGTTTTCTTTTGTTTTCTCATTTTTCTTTTGTTTTCTGGTTTTCCTTTTCTTAGGAATACGTGCCGCAGTGGCCCTAAGGGCCTCCACTCACCACATGCATAAAAGATAAAATATATGGCGTCCACATTCTAGCAAAAGATTCGTTCTATTTTTGTTCTAGCCCTTAAAAAATCTTTGTGAAACCCAAGAAAAAAACACTCATTTCATTTTATTTTATTTTTCAATGTGTTTATGTTTTTGATTTAAAAAGAAAGTCCAAAAAGTAAAAATAAAAATATGGGGTTGTAGTCCTTAAAAAAAATCTACAACCCTTTTTTTTTTTTTGTGGATTATATTTAGCCGGGACAAAAATCATCGCGGACCCCGTTTATACCCGTCCAATGGGTGTTTCAACGGGAATTCAACCCGGGTTCAACTCGTGTTGAATTTTTCAACGGGATCCCCCGTTGAATTCGTTTTCGGACACACAGTGTACGTGTGTGTGTGTGTGTGTGTCAGTTCGATATACCCGAAAAACAAAGAACAAAACAACCCACAAATGAATTCATTTTACAATCCTCGCACCCACGCATTATGGAGAGAGAGAGAGAGTTTGCACGTGTGTGTGTCGTGTGTGTGTGTGTGTCTGTCCATTCGATTTACCCAAAAAAACAAAGAACAAAATAACCCACAAATGAATTCACTTGATCCCAGCACCCACGCATTGTGGAAGTACATATATATATATATATCCTGATGAGTCAATGAATCTCCGATGAAACAGTTTGTCACAGCCCCTCGTTTGTTGTCCTCTTCTCTCTCTCTGCCTACGGTTTACCGAGCAGTTCTGTTTGTGACGAGATATATATATATATATAGATATATATAGATAGACAGAGAGAGAGAGAGAGAGAGAGAGAGAGAGAGAGAGGAGCTACAAAGCTCGTTTGTTGGTGCTGTATTCCGCCGCTCAATCCCGACACAATCTCTCTCTCTCTCTCTCTTTGTGTAGTTGTCGCTCGATTCCGCTCATTGCCCACCACAGCTCCCGCTTCGCTCTCCGCCCCACTTCCGCTTAATGCCCATGTCCCTCTCCCCCTCCGACTTCCGCTCACTGCCTGCTACCACCTCTCCCACTCCTCTCCACCTCCGCTTAGTGCCCGCCACATTCATCTCCAATTTTCCGTTTTTCTTCCATCTCTCTCTCTCTCTCTCATTGCCCGTCATCGCTCCTGCTCCGTTTTTTGCCCCGCCTCCCCTCAATGCCACCCCTCGATGCCGCCCGCTCCCACTCCTGCCACGCTTCCGCTCACTGCCCACTACTTCACCCAAACCCACTCCGCTCCTGCTCCCGCTCCCGCTACCGCTTGGCTGCCCACCTCTCTCTCTTCCGTTCATTGCCCGACATCACTCCCACTCCGCTCTCCGGCCCGCTTCTGCTCAATGCCCGCCATCAGTCCCACTCCACTCTCCACCCAGCGCCCGCTCTCTGCCCGAAGCCCGGTCACCGCCTGCTGCCGCTCCAGCCCCGCTTCCGCTCACCGCCGCTACCTCACCCAAACCCACTCCCGCTCGGCTGCCTGCGACACCTTGCAGCTCTCTCTCTCTCTCACACACACACACACACACACCCACCCACACACACACAAGCAACGGAGTGCCAACATGCCTGACGAGTTATCAGTCATGGCTGCAACCCCCTCCCTTACCCCCCCCTCTCCTATACCCGACGGGGCCAAGCACCCTGAACTCCAACGACCGCCCTCCCAACCGGACAACCGTGTACATCGGTCATCGATGTGGGGGGATTTTCGCAACCGCCAACCTAGAGGTACCACACGCAGTGTCCGGCCTGGAAATCACGCACACACACACACACCAAAAAAAAAAAGACGAAGAGAGAAAAGTCATGATACTCGCCTCCTGCGAAATCTGCTGTGGCCAATCCTTGCACTTGACGCCCAACAAAACTTGCTCTTACCCGGTAGTACCCCCACATGACACTAAATACTAGGTGGACATCTCGCTATACTCACCTCCTACGAAATCTTCTGTGGCACTCGATGCCCGACAAAAACTAAACAGTTCGAGAGCAAGAGTACCCAGTAGTACCCCCACACGACATTAAATACTAGGTGGACCTAAGGCTAATACCCATAGGGCTTCGGAATAATTGAGAGGCCGACCTAATTATTCACTCCAGCCCAAGCTTCATTTGGAGGTCCCTTGAGGTTCGTCAGGGAGAAAAAAACATGGTTCGGGCAGGAGGCTCATAGGGTACTCGTGGTTTAAGAGTGCTGTCTGCCAAACCGAGAACCGACGGAAACAGAATGAGCCTCACTCCATACCACACCTGCCACATGTTTCTGACCGGGCCAGTGGACCAGACATCTTCAGACTGTCTAATTCAGGCAGAATAATTAGACTTTTGGCATCCCGTTCGATGAAAAATGCTATTAACTAGTACTAACTCACTACTAAGACCAAAAGTTTAATATTAGTTAACTAGTACTAAGACCACAAGCTTAATATTATGTAGTGAAGCGAGGCCTTGATTTTATGCAACACGCCGACTTCCCTGCTCAGTGGAATTGGACCACTGCCAGCTCACATAGATTGCAAATATTATGTAGTGAAGCGAGGCTCGATTTCGCAAGCACTGCCTTGCAAGGTAGGCATCAGAAACCTCTTTTTTTTTTAACACCCCCACCAGTGTTAGTGGTGCTGATAAGAGCAGACACCACTAGCACCTGGGAAGAGGCTCCATCTATTGGTGGTAGGCATCACAAACCTGTCTTGTTACTTGTCAAAAGAATTGTGGAAGGTAGTTGGGAACAACTGCTATATCATCACCCCCAACTGTACGGACATTTATTCTTGCAAGAAAGAAAATCATACTCCTCGTGCGCGACTAACGAGGTCTACAGGAGGAGCGATGGCTCCATGACAGGCGGATCCGGGCGAGAGAGGCAGCTGCAATCAACCATTGGGAAAGGGCAAAAAAAACATGGAAGGAGGGGCCTGCCATGGGACACGGAGGTGGTCAGTAGATGCGAGGGGAGCCGCCGCAGGCTCCAATTCCACTGAGCAGGGGAAGTCGGGGTGTTGCATAAAATCAAGCCTTCAGCTTTTCACAATCAGAGACTCGGCCGGAAAACCCGTCGTCAGAACTTTAGAACAGTATTTTCTTCTTTTCATACGGCGCAAAGCGTGGCAAGTTAACCACTTCCTACTGCTGTTTCGTGGAGGGTCGTCCTTGTGACCCGCTCCTCGCATCCACTTCACGGGCCTTCAGCTTTTCACAATCAGAGACTCGGCCGGAAAACACTGTTGCATGGAAACATCAGCAGAGCGAGCGACTGCAACTCCGCCTCCAACTCCGCCTCCAACTCGCCCTCCTACTCGTTTTTTATTTTCACTCGCCAATGTCACCACGCATTCACCGCCAGCTATGGAAAATGGCGAACAGTGCAGCTAGGCCCTTGCACCACCAGTGCGTATGCCAGCCAGCTTTCTCCGAAGCGGCCGAACAGGTGCCGCAAGTTCAAGGTACGCTCGACCTGCCTGGGCAAAATCGCTGGCAGCGCCAGCCAGAAGAAGGCCTGCACCGCGTCAGTTTTTCCGGGCTCTGCAAGCGGAAGGCTCAACAGTACTGGTCGTGTAATGGGAAGTCTTGGGTGGGTATCTTTTGCGGCAGCTTTGTCAATATGAGCCTTGGGAACTGGACCCCCTCCTCCTTTCTGTTTTCCTTGGGGGAAAATGAAAAAGTACACAAACGAATAGTCCACTCAACTGTCCTACTCAGGGAAGTACCTGAGGCTGGAACTTCCCAACCTGCCTTTCCCCATATTCACCCCCTGCCACAGTCAACGAAGGCACAGCTGTAGCAGAGTAATCTGTGCACAAATTACTTTGCTACGAAAGTAATCTGTGCACAAATTACTTTGCTACGATTAGGGTCAACTTCAGATTTAGGGGCCTTCGGAAGGAGATATGCGCATTCTCAATTTCGGTGACAGGATGCCATTTCACTCCAGCACTACTATTTGCCGATTGGTTGTGGGTTTTATAAGGGTTACACAACATCTCTCTGTAGGCGGCCCGTGCAGGGTCGGGCAAAGGGAGCTGCCGATTCATTGATTGATCTATTGTTCATAGACTACCACTCCACACAATGGCAAGCACAGGGTGAAACGTATGTTGAGAGATCCAATCCAGACAAGAGTGGTGAAAAACATGTCGAGAGACCCCATGCAGACAAGGGTAACGATTCAGATGCCTGAGCGCAGGGAAAGGAAAGGCCTAACACTTGGGCAAAGATTTATGTACATGAGGATTCACTTCCATTCCGATGCAGATGCTGCACCTCGACGACTACAAGGCTACTATTTGGACACCCATGCCATAGTCTCTCTCTCTCTCTCTCTCTCTCTCTGAGTGTGTGTTGTCATGTTCGATATACACACAGCTCAAAGAAAAAAGCATGACTGTGCTAGACTGTTCGGTCGGACTTTCGCGGACTCGTCAGGACGTGGTGTGCGTTGTCATGTTCGCTTATATACAACTCCACAAAAAAAAATCATGACGGTGCCTGTCTCGGCTTCAAAGATTCGACTACCGGTACAATGAGACCCACAGAGTTGTGGCTCAATATTCACATGGTATTGCCTGCGCGCTCGTATTGCAGGCACCGACCACCGACGAAGACTCAAGAGTGCCTGCAGCGAAGGACAATCCATGGTATTTCCGGACCAGTCGACCTGTAACCCTGACCAGACATTGTCACATATACCCTCAGACCGAGTGGCAACATGCCAACAGCTGATATACTCCCATGTTTTAGATGGCTCACGGTGCAAATCTCCGATTTCAAAAAGACAGTCGCACATCTGCGCTGAGCAGATAAGTCCAAACACTGCTTACCTTTCACTGTACTCTGCTCACCGATGTTAACACCAAAAAACCTACTACTGCCCTCGACAAAGCACACGCCATCCTATCTATGGTATGTATCTGTCATCAACCATGCCTACGACGAATCGATTTAATCTACACCAGTGGACACTAACCTAAACCTACAGAAGTTTACCATATGTAATCCTAAGCAGAAAATCTACTTCATTAGAGTTCAACCCAAGAAACAAATCTGCAGCAGTGGTAGAAAAGAAAAACGTTGATCAAATTAACCTAAGAAAAAAAAAAGGAAATATGTTGAACTGCTCTGTACCTGCAGGCAGGCTGCAGAGAAGTTGCTACGCAATCAAGCCCTCTATTGATACGTAGACTCGAATGCAGTGCGGAGCAGCGGAAGCACACGATAACGGGCACGGAAATGAAATGGTAATGCAAAACAGAGGATAGGCAGCACAATTATTCCGATGCAGAGACCAGCAAAAAAAAATTCATCTTCAGACGGCCATTTTCGAAACAGTGCGCGGAGGACTCCGCAATCCACCACCTTTCTTCCCAAAGCCACCTGGCTCTCCCTCCCCCCGCCCTAAGATCCCTCTGTTTCCCAAACACAGCTCCTTTCCAGCCATTCAGGGGCCATTTCACTTTTCTCCTGCCGCACCGATACAGACGCACACAAGTGCTATTCAAGGCGCATCAACATGCAGGGACCTGCAGGATTTGCTGGGACCCGTCCTCACGGCAACGGTTGGCATGAGAAAGTACTACGCGGGCACACACATGCATTGGAGAATTACGCTCTCTTTCAGCGGAAACATACAAACGACAATCCTAAGCATGATTCCGTCGAAACTGTCAATGCGGCACCCAGCTCCGTGCGACCCATCACCACGGCTCATGACGACACCTTCAAGTGTAAGAGAATGGGAGGACGGTTTGCATCCCGCAGGGGAATCCAAGTCCTAGGTTGTATTGCCATCGAACTTCAGTGTTCAAACTTATTTCCATTGAGCGCTGCGCTCTTTCTTCTCTTGTGATCGTTAACTATCTGCCATGAAGTGTGCACCCCTCTGCATATCCTAGTGCGAGAGTGACAAAAGACGCACACCGCCCCCCC